AAAAAAAAAACAAAAAAAAACAAAAATAGAAATAAAGATGACTGGTAAAATATCATAAAGTTCAATGTATAAAGTTCCCCCTTCTACCATTATATCTGCCTAAGCCCCAAATAATACAAAATGTGTTAAAAGAGCAATGTGATGTTCATCTCCAAACTATAATCAAGAACTATAGTGTTTTTTTCATAATCTCCTTAAATAAAATTAGTTGGATGGCGGATTTCGGTTCCAGGACAGGTAGGATGGATCCCCTAAAGGCCTGCACAGTGTCGAAAACATTGTTTTAGCACCGAAACACGAACAACAAACAACAAGAAGATGATGATAGCCTACAAAATTTTGCTTAAACATTTTTGTTCCATATGGTTACATATTACATACTTATAAGCTGGCATGCAGAAAGTGAATTCTGTAAGATAATCTTGATAGAACTATTTGGAAGACAATTCAAGGGCGCCAATCCTTACTTTCAAAAAATAAAAATGGAGAAAGAGAAAGAACTCAATCAATGAATTTACCTTGGCCTGATGAGATAGACGATAATATAGGCTATAGCAATCATCAGGCAAAACCCACCGACCGTGATATAAACCCTGCCTAAAAAATCGTTTTTCCCCCCAATCCAAGTTGTAGTTGAAATCACCAACTTCTTTTTCCCATTAAAAGCATAGGTGTTGTAGTTGTTTTGTATAACGACTTTTATTATCTCGTTCGCCTCAAGATCGGTTTCTATCCTGCCGTACAATTTCCTGAATGTCGGCAAAGCAGCTGTCCTCATCCAAACCAGAAGATCTTCTTGCTGGTTCAACTGTTGCATACCAAAACTTATCACTAATACAACAAATATTAAATTATATACTAGTAAAACACAATTTTTATCTGATATTCAGTAGATGATTTGTATCATTAAGCACCAAAGGAACTCACTACACAAATTACAATATTCGTTATGTAACTATGTCTATTTAGGAAATGGCTACAGTCCCATTATGGAATAATTCCGTCAGTGTGTTTTAACCATGGATTATCTACCCTACACTGATCTACATGTGTTTTTTGTGACGGGACTGTAGTCATTCCCATCTATTTATATTTGTTCATTCAGCCAACCAATAGAACTTGAAAAGGGCACAACACAAACATAGTGAAAAGAGTGACAAAAATAATATAGGAAGAAAAAAAAAAAAAAATGGGCGCAGCCTTACAGGGATGCTCTCGTTGAGCCTGGCCCCGCCAATGAGACCTTGACTCTGGAAATTTTTTGGGTAAACATTAGACCCAAACTTATGCATTTTATCACTTTCCCAAGCGATATCCTTCTTGTTAATCGGTAAAGCAGCGCCATTTCTCGAGAGACTGTACGTGTCGTTAAACAAGCTCCAAGCAATAAGGCCACACGGGACTATGGGTTCACGGTTATCGTTAACCGACTCGGGCTCACAATTCCCCGTCCTGTGGTCCGCCGAAGGGTTCCTGTACTGCGCGTCGTTTCTACTTTTCACGTACCTGCGCAAAAAGGGCCAATCGAAATGCACAAATTTGTAAAAGATATTTGATAACGATATCCATATTTTATGATAACAAATTTTCACCGGCGGTGGTTTTGGTAAAACTCGTCTAGCTGGTAGTAAACGTAGATTGGATGCTTCATCTTCTTCGGGACCTGAGTAATCGCGTGAAAATATTAATATGAAAAATTAAGGATCACATTAGAATATGACTATGTTTGGTAAGGTTAGCTTATAAACTTATTGTATTCAAAAAATTTATGTTTGATAGGAATAAAAACTCGAGCTTCTCTCGTTAGTTTCTTTGAGTAGTTTTTCAAATAAACTTGTTGAAATTTTTGTTTCACCTGGTTTATCAGTTAACTTTACTAAACACTTTTATCAGTAAGCTAGTTTTTCAGTCATAAAAGTTATAGCTATAAGCTCAAAATTCACTTAAAAGCAGCTATCAGCTAGTTTTAACAAACATAGCCTAAGTGACTATAACGAGGAAAAACCGAAAGGGGACTAACAGTTAAAGTTCTTGTGCAGGTTTTATCTGTTCTGATATCTTGGATGTATCCAATCCTTTTATTGTGAGCTGCTTGAGGAGTTAGATCATTTGCAGGGATACAATCCTCGTCGTAACGGTCTACAAGCTCGACGACCTACAATTTATTCGAATTCGTGATAAAATGCTTATTTCAATTCCTGAAAAAATAAATAAATTAAAGCTTGCAAATTATGTACATAATGTGCAAATGAAGGCTTAAAGTTTGAGTAATTTGTGATAGCAAATTCAAAACATAAATACATAAAAAAAAAAAAATGTGCATAAATATTTGCAGTTTTGTTACATTATCTGAAGCAGACAAATGGGAAAGACCAATGGGGATGAAGGTTATGCCAAGAAAAATGAAAGTAACCATAACCTGCACAAAATTTGAACAAAAAAAAAAATATATATATATATAGTGAAAAATAAAAACATCAAATATAAACAAAAAAAAAAAATATCTATATATATATTATTGAAATTTAAAAAAAAAAATACCAATTCAGGAGTTAAGATTGGCTTGCAGGCTGGAAGTTCTTGTTGGGTAAACCTGGAATCTGAAAATAAAAATTAAAAATAAATTAATATGACGGGTAAAAATAAACAGAAAAAATAAATAAATAAATAAATAAATTAAGATTCATAATATAAAAGTTACATTTGGGCTTCTGAGATGTCTTGGATTGAGGGGCTCCATCTCCAGAGCTCATGATTGTGAGAGATTAAATTTAGATTTTTTAGGGGGAAATTAAGAAAAGATATTTTGCAGAGAGAAAGCAGTTATAATTACAAGAATAAAATATATCGTCTGAAAAAAATGTGTGATTTGGGGGAGGAAAATAAATTAAATCTTATTGTTTCTCCTTTTTTCTTGTTTTTATTTATTTATTATCCGGATCCTTTTTTAGTGGGGAGAGTTGCGAATCGAATATTATTATTAAAAAAAAAAAAACTTTCACAAATTTTCTTTTAT